TAGGACCAGAAACAGAGTTATAACTTAGACTCATAAACATCAAATTCTTAAATTGTACAAGTTGTTCTCTTGACTAACCGAAAAGTTGGTTCTCACTCAAATCCAAAAACTCTATTCTGTCTGAAACACGTTCTCAGAGAATATCCAGGACTAAAGAAATCTGTTGGTTCAGTTTGATACTTGAGATAGAAAGTGATCTCAATTTGAAAAATCTTCCCAAAGATTTTGGAAGTCTCCCTTCAAAATTATTATTTGACAGATCAAGTGTTTTGAGAGAAGTTAAGTTCCCCAGAATACTGGAAATTGTATCAAGGAAATTATTGACATTAAGAGAAAGGTCTTCGAGATGACTAAATTTGAACAACCACTTTGGTATTGTTGAACCAAACTGATTGAATGATAAATCAAGATGCCTCATAGATGTTAAGTTTTGAAGTCCATCTGGAATTGGACCTCGAAAATAATTCACTTAGCCCAAGTGTAGAAAGGGATGAAAAATTAGCACGGGAAAGCTGAGGATAGTAAGTTCATAAGGGAGGAAGTGTGTTCATCACCAACAGCCAGTCAGAGACTTTCCTAAGGTCCACGTCACTCAAATCAAGGTGCTTCAGCGAAGAAAGACCAGATAACCAACTAATATTCTCAGCATATACCAGACATTTTGACTGAGGTCAAGATATTGCAGATTAGAGAGATTTCCATGATGGTGTGGAATCATTCCTCCAAATCCAGTATTAGAGAGATTCAGGTATCTTAGGTTTTTCATAGAACCAAGCAATCTGGGAATTTGACTTCGTTATAAATTGTTACCACATATGTCCAAGTAATTCAAATGTTTAAAATCAAGCAAGGAGGAATTTATCTTACCACCAAGCTTTGACCTCTGATAAGATTTAAAGTCAGCATATGATGGTTTGTGATTGGCAAGAGGGTTTCCAAGGTGGAGCTTGAGGAAATGGCCAGTAGACTTGTTGCGTACACAAGAGCTTCCATTGCAGAAGCTAATTTTGCTGGTTGCTGTGGCTAGCAACCCAAACAACAGAAATTTGATGACACTCATGGTAACTTCTGATTGGCAAACACCTGCAAATAGAAATTATGTAGAAGGGAAACGAGAATCGGACTGTTATCAGTAGACTGCTATTTATAATTTTTTTTTATTTTCATGGCAGTCAATATAACACAACTAATATCACTGACCCACAACTGGTTTTGGAGGGAAATAATGATTAACTAGCATTAAACTTTCAAAGATATACGACTGTAATGGGACTTATATTTGTCTGTGATCGATTGCATGCCGTGGAAAATTTCTAATCCTAGATTCTGAATTTTATTATTTACATATATTGGTAAATTTTTTATTGTTAATTTATGTTAGTATACTATTACTAAATAATTTCAGCAAAGAAACACAAGATACCTTCTAAGAATATGCCACCGAGATCAAGATATTGGAAATTAGAGAAGTTTCCAAGTTGGTGTGGATTTACCCCCCAAAAAGGAGCATAAGAGAGATTAAGGTATCTTAAATTCTGCATAAAACTAAGAAATAAAGGAGCCTGAATTCCATGAAAATCATTATTGCTCAAGTCCAAGTAGCACAAATGCTTAAAATCAAGTAAAGAAGGATTTATCTTACCACCCAACTCTATCCTCCAATCAGCTTCATTGTAAGGATAGAATGTATCATCTTTCAAACGAGGAGGTTTAAGGCTGAGCTCTAGGACATGGCCTGTCAAGTTGTCACAAACAATGCCAGACCACATACAGTATAATATATGTTGCAATTTTCAACACAACTTTAGTAATCAATAAGAGTCTGTGAATCAAAATGAGCATCATGGCGTTGTCAGTAGGCTGATATATATAGATCTATTTTATTGCCATCGTTAGAACCCAATGATCCCTGTAGCATATAATTACCCCAGCTCATCTACTGACCTAACAGTGGATTTAAGAGTAAAATTATGATAGACCAGAATCAAGATTTCAAGGAAGAAGAGAAGGCATGTATAAGCGTCAAGAACTTTTATCCGTAGAGTATATCCATTGACAATTGTGAACATCAGTGCTACATGGAATAAGGAAAGACAAGCTTCACTATATGCAACTACAAACATAACATAACATCTGTTTCTCGCATTCAGAAATTAAACCATCTTCACTTCACCATGATTGGAATGTCAGAATAATAAAAAGGAGAAGCTTATCAGATTTTTGTGATGCAAAGGGCTCAAGTAAAATGTTGTTTACCTAAGATCAGCGTGAATCAATAACAAAAGTGATACAAAGTGAACCTGATAGATGTTGCTAAATGCTAGACTATAACATATTATGTTAATCTTCGAATTCATTCCAATGTCAATGGATAAAAACAGCTCATTTAGGAGCAAATCTTGCAGCTTTCAACTGTGCCAAGGTCCTCTCAAGCTTACCAACCCATTCTTCAAATTGCAATTCCAATATCTCCATTGCATTTTTACAGCCATCTCTTTCACCATCCTGCATCCTCACCGCATCATGATCCTGATCACTTGCTTTACTATCAGCTGCAAGTTCACTAAGTGCCTCTGGTACAACTTCCACAATCTCAAGTTCATCCTACATCATGTTTTCTGCCAATTTTGTCTGTGGATCAATTGTGTTAAAAGCCTCATCACCTATGGCTAAAGAGGAAATTTTTTGAGATTGACTTGATGTATGTTTAACATCTGGAACCTGTCTATTATTCCCATCATCATGCTTTATACTAGATTTCATAAAATCTGCAATAGTCATATCACATTTTTCTTCTAAATCTTTTGTTTCAGCCACAAGAGATTTTGGAAGGAAAACCCGGAGGAACCAAGGAATCACTCTCTTCCCTCAAACTCTTCAGCATGGAACTAGAATGAGTAAAGGTACCATCAATTTTATTCATTCCATCAAACCTTCTTGGTGTCATTTTGAACCTTTTGATAAAGTTCTTTGCATTTTTTCCTCCCAATATCTTTGGCTTTGTCTTAAACCTTGATCAAGTATCAGCTTCCTTCTTTCCTTTTGCCATCTCCATGATCTTTTTAGTACCAGTGAAGCTACACTCAGTAGCACCCTGCAGACATGAGATCGAATGTTTCCACCACTCTGAGTATTGGCTTGTTACATCTCCTAGATTTCTCAAACCTACAAGGCTAGGCAAATCACATAAAGAAGTCTCTCCACAACATAGGTATAACCTATCCTATCTCTATGTCGTCTTAGTTACATGTTGATTGGTTAAAGAACAATTAAAACCACTAATTGGTACAAAGAGAATATATACAATCCATAATCCCTGTAATACAATTATAAATTTATCACACTTGAATGAAATCATAGCAGAAACATTACTGAATGACAATATATAGTAAGATTGTAATCAATATTGAAACAAAAACCACAATCAATCATTCGGGACTTTCAAACCCAACATTCAACATGCAATCAATTTGGTTTCACAACGAACACAAATCCAACAAAGCATTTCATAATTCAAATCATGCATTGTATTGTAATCGCATCGAAACAAAACAATCCTAAAATCAGAAAACACAACAATCAAATCATATGTTCAATGTCTAATTAATAATCCAATTAGTCCAAGTTTAAGTAAAGAAAACTATAGCCTGAATCCCGGTCTCGCCTCTGCCTAACAGGCAACCGGTGCTCAGCCGCTCATAATAGTGTCGACGGAGGCTGGGGAAGGTGAACGGTTGCTGCCCATGATGGAAAACAAGTCCCCGGTAGCTGGAGTGGTTGTTTTGTGGATGAGGGAGAACCAAGGTGAGCTGGGAAGTTGAACGGTTGGCTGAAGACGAAGAGACGCGTCGGCAGCCATGGATTCCGGCTGTGGTTCACAGCGGCGGATGGTGTAAGGCGACGGAAATGCTAGGGAACGCTGAGGAAAGGATGGCCGGCAGCTGGGGAAGCTGAATCGACGTCGGAGAAGACGAAACAACGCCGTAAAAACAAAGAATCGCGGCTGGAAGGTGGAACGCCGCGACAGCGCAAAACGGTGATGTGAGACGTCGACCGATAGCTCTCGGCAATGGGAAGAAGAATTCGACGATTGGGGAAGCTGAAACGACGTCGAAGAAGACAAAACGTCGCCGGAACGGCGAAGAATTGTGGCGGCGAAAATGGTGATGAATCGCAACCGCGGCGGATCTTCAAGGAGATGACGGAGATGATGGAGGCGATGGCCGATCAGAGTTTTGGAAGAAGGGTCGCCGGAGATGGTCGAAATCTAGTTAAGATGAGCAAGGGTTTGGGTGTTGGGCGGCTGCTTTTTTTACCACGGTTCACTTCCTTTCATAGAAAATATATTGTTAGTCCCTGTACATTTAAAAAGTGACAAAATAGATCCCTTGAAAACATATTACCCCCTAATAAAACATAAATGAGACAGAATCAACCCTAATCCATTAACGACAATCTAATATCAACTCACACTATTTCCAAAATCATTCCAAACATGAAAAATTAGTAAGAAAACATTAAAATTTGATTTTTCATCAATAAATTCATAAATTCACAAATTGTCTCAATATATATTCAATTAAATCATAACAAAGGGTATTAAATCACTTTAATGGAGTCATTTTTATGATTCTAACAACCATCAACTCTTGTCTCACTTCAACGCCAAGTTGTACCACTTACTCCATTGTTGGAACTCACAAATGATGTTTAAAAAACCGTCTCTTGAAATGGATATGTGGGTTTCTTCGTGAGCAAGGGAGATAGAAAGTCTAGAATTGGTCTTGAAGATCAAAAATTGAAGTCTATTTATGGATTTGTGAGTACTAGAAGTGGTGTTGAGGTTGATCATGACATTTTGCCATTAATATTTTATTTATTCACATTTATATCATCTATTCAATTTTTGCAGGCCCCATTAAAACGAAAAATTTGATCATTCTACAACAATTGCAGTCACTGATCAGTGTGTTAAAGCAATGAATGCATTAACATAATTTTTTTTATTTGTAAAAAAGATAGCAGATATCATTTCATGACAAACGTTCAAACAATTACTCACTTCCTTTTTGGTACATACAAAGTAAGCTCCAAACGACAAAAGACGAAACAAAAGAAAAAAAAAATAAAAAACTCTAGTAACATTTTCTTACAACACTGCCCAGTTTGTCTTGGAGGCTATTCAAGAATTCGCAATACAAGTATCTCCATCTTCGGCTGACAAGTAGAGAACCTATAAAACTCCAGAATCCCACAATAAATCCAAGTGCCATGCTCACAAAGAACCAGTTCACTTCATCTTCATTACCATCTTTCTTTCCTCTGCTCTGACTGTTGATTGTTGGAGTAGGCACAGTACAATTATTAGGAAGTGGAGGTCCACAAAGTTGGTTTCCTGTAAAACAGGATGCCTCAAAGCCACTTAATTGAGTGCTTGAAGGAATTCTTCCTATTAAGTTGTTGTTGGACAAGTTCAAGTCACTCAAAAACGTCAAACTTGAAATGCTTTGTGGGATTTCACCTGAAAGTTGATTTCTGGAGAAATCGATAGACTCTAGAGATCTCATAGCACCAATGTTCTCCGGAATTCTTCCAGTAAAACCATTGTGTGATAGGTTTAATGATTGCAATTCTGAAAGATTTGTCACTTCCATAGGAATCTGTCTGAAGAAATTATTTTTTGAAAGGTCTATACCTCTCACGAACTTCAAAATTGTGTTGTATTCAACCATGTGACCTTTCTTCACAAGTAGTTCACTCTCCAAATATGTTGAAAAAACATCTCTAGAAGATTGATAATTCATATCGCTTTCCTCATTAGAGCTAATTTTCATCATGGCACTGAAGTTATTGATGCATCTTGGTATGGTTCCAAAGAAGTTGTTATCTGCAAGGTCTAAGATTTGCAGAGAACGAAGATTACAAAGTTCTTTTGGTAAATGGCTAGAAAACTTATTTGATCTAAGGTTGAGAATCTTCATTCTTGAAAATCTCTCTCTAACCCACACCTTGAGATTTCCAACAAACTCATTTTCACCCAAATCAAGCGACACCATCTGCGTACAATTTTTGAGTGACACAAGAATTGTTCCAGAAAAGTGGTTTTTGCGAAGGTTTAACCATTCAGGAGAACTTAAAGTCCCAATAGAAGCTGGAAGCTTACTCGTGAATCTATTGTTACCTAAATTCAGGACTTTTAAGCCTTTCAAATTCATCCAACAATTAGGTATAACTTCTGACAAAAAGTTGTTATTAAGGATGAGAATTTGCATCATGCGCGTTGACTCGTTCATCTTATGACACAAGAAATGGAAAATTGATCCTGACAAAGCGTTGTTGGAAAGATCAAGTAGATACAACTTGAAGGGTAAAAGAGGCAATGCACCTGATAAACGATTTGAATTCAAGTCAAGCACTTCAAGTTGAGTGGACTCCGTTAAATTTGGAATCTGCCCATAGAGTTGGTTGTGAGAGAGATTTACAAGCAAGAAAGGATTTTTGAATAAAAATGTTGGAATAGCATCTTTAATTCTTGAATCAGATATGTCAAGATATCCTAAATGCTTTTGTGAACGAAGCCACAGTTGAAATTGAGGCCCTAAATGACAAGATCTCAATCCTAGAGTTTCAAGTTTAAAAGGAGGAACCCAATGAGGACTGACTTGGAATACTAATGAATTTCCAGATGCAAAAAATTCAACTAATCTTGTCAGATTGGAAAAATGCATCTCAAAAACAGTTCCATTCAATTTGTTATAGCCAATATAAACAATTTCTAACGACGATAGTTCTCCTAAAGAGGATGGAATAGAACCTAAAATAGAATTGTTATACAGACCAAGATAAACTAACTTCTTAAATCGTCCAAGTCTATTAGTAAATTGACCAAAAACTTGACTTTCATCCAAACCCAAACTCTCTAGTATGTCTGAAACACATCTAGAAAAAATGTCAAGGACATCAGATATTGGTTGGCTTAAATTGACAAATGAGAGAGTGAGAGAGTGATTGACCTTAAGTTGCAAAGTCGTCCCATTGATTTTGGGATTCCACCTTCAAATCCATTTGATGAGAGATCAAGCTCTTCTACAGATGTCAGATTTCCTAGAATCCCTAACGTGCCTGTCAACCAATTACCATCAAGACGAAGTCCCTGGAGACGGCTAAGTTTGTAAAACCAATTGGGTATTGAAGAATTGAAATTATTGTAAGATAAATCAAGATTTCTAAGGGAAGTCAAGTTTTGAAGTCCATAAGGAATTGGACCTTGAAAAAGATTCGCACCCAGATCAAGGGTCTCAAGAAACGAAAAATTTAGAATGGGTAGTTGAGGAAAATGATGGATATCACAATTTCTCAAATTTAACACTACTAGAGAAGGGAGTGTATTGATCACATGCAGCCAATCAGAGGATTGGCTGAGATCCACACCCCACAAGTCAAGGCGTTTCAACAAAGAAAGACTAGATAACCACCCCAAATTGTCAACATCTAACCTGCCACGGAGGGCAAGATATTGCAGATTAGAGACGTTCCCAAGCTGGTGAGGAATTATACCTTGGAAAGAATTTAGAGAAAGATCAAGGTGTCTTAAATTGTGCATATAACAAAGAAATTTAGGAATCTGACCATCAAAATTGTTATCGCTCAAGTCCAACAAGCGCAAATGCTTTAAATCAAGCAAAGAGGGATTTACCTTACCGCCCAGCATTGACCTATACTGAGGAGCAGTGGCGGACCCAGGATTTTTACCCAGGGGGGGCCCCATCACTCCGTCAGTATTTGCCAATCAAGTAGTGAAAACATAAGAAAATAATTTACAGGGAAACACAAGAAAATTTTTACGTGGAAAAACCTCTTCAATATGAGGAGATAAAAAACCACAGGAATCTAACGACCCACTTAAATCCAATATAATCAAAAGAGTTTACAATAACTACAAATCAACCAAAAATATTCTACACAAATTTAGAGCTCAATTACAACTCTAACAAAAGTAAGATACACAAAGGTTTACAAAGAGATGGATTACGATCACTCTAAATCCAGATCTAGACGTTAACATTCTAACTCAACCGTCTATATTAAAGATCCACACATCCTCTGCATATTGACCCAAAAATCAAGTTAGAATGGTATACCTAAAGATCTAAATAATATGAATATTTATTATTTAAAGATGAAAGCAAGTTAGAATAGTATACCTGAAGATCTTCAATTTAACACGATTTTTCGCTTCATTATGTTCTGAAAATGTTCAATGATATCTTCATTTTGAATTGTAGCAAAAACTTCCTTTTCAATGTAAACTACTAAGCAATTGTTCATCCACTCGTCTCCCATTCGATTACGCAAAGTATTCTTAACAAGATTCATTGCAGAGAAAACACACTTTCAACTGTTGCAGTAGCCACAGGAAAACCAGTGCTAATTTAATAAGCAAGAAAACTTGTCATAAGCAACATCCTTCTTAAACTCAACCATTTTTTTGCAAGATCGGCAACCCATCAACATGAGTGAAATTGGCATTGGTGCTAACATCCTCATAATAATTTTCAAGTTGATTATCGAGCAACCAAATATCGTGTTGAGGAAAATGGCAGGATAGACTTTGCAAACTCAAGTAATCTGTCTTTATTAAGCAGCAAAGAGTTACTTGGATCAGAGATGCCATACACTGAGCAACCCCATGTTTACTTCATCAAAACGATTATTGAGTTCTTCTTGAATGTTATCTAAACTGTGTACATCAATTCCACCTTAAAATGATATTTATTCGTAATTGGCGCAATCCCTCGTTTTGTCCTCCCCAATTATCTCCATGTTCTCCGGGATTGGTATGTCATTACTTTACATAGATCATAAGCTTCTTTCAACATATGTCGAAGCAAGTGTCTTCTTTCTCAATTTAGCAACCGACGCTTCGAAATTTGTACAAACTGCATGGCATTAAGGAGATCTTGATCTTTTCTTTGTAATGCTTGTGACAGTTCATATGTGATTCCCAATACTTTCTTCATCAAGAATAACAAAAGACGAATTCAAAATTCTCCATGATTCGTAATAAACTCCTTGCTTGACTTTTGTTTTGCCAATCATCTCCTTCAATCTCAATCACTCTGAGCACACCAACAACAGAAGAAAATAAGTTTATGACACTATGAATTGTCCCTATGTGTGAACCCCAACGTGTATCTCCTGGTCGTTTAATAGTCATTCTTGATTCAAACCGCGTCCCGTCTGAATATCACCATTAGAAATCAAAGATATCACATATTCAACTGAGTCACGTAGAAGATCTCTGCGCTTGCAAGATGCTGCCACAGTGTTTGATAACAGAAAGAGTTTGAAAAAATTCACCCAATGCTGAATGTTTACTTACAACTTTGACTAGCGCCAATTGGAGTTGATGAGAGAAACAATGAATGTAGAAAGCAAATTATTTTCTCTCAATATTAAAGTCTTCAAACCATTGAACTCACCCCTCATATTGCTTGCTCCATCGTAACCTTGGCCCCGTAAACTTGTCAAACTCAATCCATACTTTAAAAAAAGGCATCTATTGCAGTTTCAAAGACTTGCAGAAGTATTCTTAACATGCACAATCCCAATAAAACGTTCGATAACACAACCCATTTTGTCCACATAGCGAAAACAATAGCATTTGTTCTTTCACTGCCACATCACGAGATTCATCAACCAGTAAAGAAAATGGTTGTTTATCTCTCACAATTCTGCAATAATTTCTTGGTTGTCAAATGAGCACAAACACTAGTTAGTTGCCTCTGGATTTTGGGGGCCGTCATTTGATGGTTTTTCGGAGCATTTCCCAGCACAACTTTCTTATGGTCATTGTGATTGGATAGAAACTTCAATAGTTCCATAAAGTTACCTTGATTTTCAGATTCAACTGACTGTCATGCCACGAAATGCTAATCCTTGATGTAAAAGAAATCTAAGCAATCAATTGATGCATCAAGGAATACGATAATCCAATTGCCCTTTCGCCGCAACCAAGATTACATCGAGTGTGTTGCCTTTGGTTCATAAATCAACACATTGGCATGACATTGGTTATGAGTACAGAATGATCCCACATGTTTTTTCACTTTTGCTTTACTTTCCGTTATTATATCCCTATTCACAAAAACTTCACCACCTGCTTGGTCACCATAATCGGGTTTGAATTATACCAAGTGGGATCCCAAAAATAGAGACAAAGAGATTCCTATTAAAAAAAAAAAACTAATTAATTTAGCAACTAATTTTCTCTTGAATAGATACATGAACAAACCATGATATATTTAAATTCATGATACATGATACATAAGACATATTTTAATTTAACACATCTATTTAACACAGTACACACCATGTCAAAATTGTCAATATGTCACCAATATAATACATTCAAATATTTAATACATAAGACATGTTTGAAACAAGAGTCAAGGAAACAAAGTCAAAGATAATTGAAAAAAATTCTTTAACTTATTTTTGTCTCACTAAAAGTCTAAAACTGGGTCCGCCACTGCTAAAATTTTCACCCAAACGCCAAACCCAATACTCTAAAGGCATCAATAAGATTTTTTCAAAGAGTAGTTTATTATTTGTCTCACTAAAACTGGGTCTACCACTGCTAAAATATTTCGTCCAAACGCCAGACCCAAACTTTAAGGCATCAATAAAATTCTTCAAAAGCAGTAGTTTATTATTTGCCTCACTAAAACTGGGTCCACCAGGACCACCACTACTAAATTTTTCACCCAAACGTCAAAACCAATACTCTAAAGGCATTGATAAGATTCTAAAAAAGTGGGTAGTATATCATTAAATAAGGAAATATTAATTACTAACCTTCAGAGTTCAGGCGCTTCAGGAGACCAGTCACGCAGATGAGAGAAGTTGAAAAGGGGGGTTTTTTTAATTTCTAGGTTGAGATGTAAAAAGGGCGTTTGGGAACTGGGAAAGAAAAAGCTGAATGAGAAAAGACGAAAGCTAACTTTTCAGTTTTTAACCTTTTATTTATTTTTTTAATCTTCCAAAAAAAATAAAAAAAAACTTTGCAATTTTTTTTTAAAATCTGAGGGCAGGCCTGGGCCTACTCTCAAGGGGCCTGGGTCCGCCCCTGCTGAGGAGTACTAAGGTTGAGCTCAAGGACATGGCCCGTCTGGTTGTCACAGAAAATGCTAGACCATGTACAGCAATCTGCATGACCAGAAGTCCAAGAGGCAAGCCGGTTGGAATGATCTATCAGATCTTTCTTGAACCTTAAAAGAGCTTGTCTCTCACTTTCAATGCAACCCCGGTAAGAGCTTCCTCCGCAGAAGCTAATGTTGAGGGTTGTGGAAATGAAAAGAAAGGCAAGAAAAATGCTCATGGTTTTCATTTGCATAGGAAAAGTTTATGGAAAAGGAATTGTGCATGAGAATATTATTATTAGTGGCCTGCTATTTATAGAGTTTCCGTTCACTGAACCACTCAACTAGTTTGTCCAGAAATCAATTTTAAAACTTGCAGGAAATTTCTTTGATCTTTACTGATAACATCAAGATTTTAAAGATGTCAGTGGGCCACGTGGCTCCAAGATCCCCTGTTTCAAAGATAAGGGACCCCCATGGCCTCATAGTCAATTGACCCGAAATAGTACTTAAAGGTAATTTTAGTAGGTCCAATTAACAGCGTAGACATCAAGTTAATTAACGAGGGCAAAATATGAAACTTTGATTTTTCTAGCTGTCCATTTCAACATTTCACACAACATTTAGGAGAAAGAAAAGATATAGAATTAACATTTCAATGATTTCTGGAAGTCTTCAACTAATACAGTATTGTTTCAATAGAATGAATTAAAGGTGTCAATGTGTCACGGCCAAGAAAAGAACAAAATAATTAGAAGAATTCAGGGTTCAATGAATTCAAGAAAAAAACTTATATATTATAATTTCATGATCTCAAACGTTCAAACCATTACTGATATCATAGCATCTATATTCCCACGAATTCTACCGGCAAAAGAATTGTGTGACAAATTCAGTGACTGCAATGTTGTTAGATTTTGAAAGGTATATGACTCTCACAAACTTCAGAATTGTGTTATATTCAACAAGTTGACATTTCTTCGCAAGAAATGAATCCTCCATGTAACCTGTATAAAAATCAGCACTAGATCCGTAGTTTATATCCATTTCATGGTCATTAGAGCTCATTGTCATCATGTCACTGAAGTTATTGATACATATCGATATGGTTCCAGAAAAATTGTTGAGAAATATTACTAGTGTCCACGATTCTAATTACTTTACTTATTCACTCTATTTCGGGGCCCTGTTTCAAGTTCAAATTAGAAATTAAAGAGAAAGTTTGTTCATCACCATTAAATCATCAAGAAATTAAGAATGATCTTTTCAATATGCCAATACTATCTGTAATGTTTGGAGCTAGAAGTTCTCTATAGAGTAAATAAAAAGTATCCTGGCTACAAGTTTTCATCCATCCAATTAACTTCAATGGTTCACATTAATAAAGTATGTAGACTCCAAGTCATATCCTATCCAGCTCATCTGGAACAGAAGTCTGAAAAGTAGGGCCTCACAGTGTATATTTAATTAGTCAATAAAGATTACAATAGAAAACTGTCAAAGTTTTAATTGAATTTTCTAACCCCTCCTTCAAGTTTAATTTATCATTGCAGTAAAAGAATGATGGAGAAATGTTGGCAATACTTGCTTACTTAACCTCTCTGTTACGTCTTCTTCTTATCACACT